AAAAATATGGAACGCTTCACGAATTTGCGTGTCATCCTTGCGCAGGGGCCATGCTAATCTTCTCTGTATCGTTCCAATTTTAGTATATGTGCTGCCGAAGCGAGCACACTCTCTGTCCCATTCTTCATGCCCAATCGCACACATTATAGTTTGTCTAGGGAAAGATAAGCTATCTACTCATAAAGAATGACCTCAGCTTACTTTTGTGTCAGTACAGTATTACAACCAAATGGAATAACCAGAAATAAAAACAGAACTAGTTCTAATATAAGACAGTTATTTATATTACAACAGCTCTAAAAGAACAGCTGGTTGTGTGCAGCCACTATTTCTGCAGTAGTTGTCAAGGAATGTCTCACAGTACATCAACCTGCAGAGAACTAAGAGTAATCGGAATTCTTCAACCATGAATAAAGTACATGTCAGAATGTCTATACCTTGCATACTGAGCTGAATAGCCCTGCGGAGATCTGCTTCTTCATCTTCCATGTCAATTTCTTGGCGACTTAGTGCCAGAGCCCTCTGCAGATCTTCTTCATCTTCGTCTAACATTACTGACCCATCATTTGCTTCTAAGACTCGATCCAGATCTGTTTTCTGGACTCTGAAGAACAAAGGCACTAAAATAACTGCAGACCAATCTTTTATTTTAGGTGTAACTAAAGGCATATATAAACCAAAAATTTTATGTAAGTCTGAATTTTTACATTTTCTGGCAGGTAAGGTCTAATAATATAATGATTGCATTGTGTTGTGAATCCAGGTTAATAGTTATGTAATTCGAAGAGTGGATCTTAGCTTGAACCAATAAACTTGACTTGCAATACATGGGTCTGAAAAAAGTCACCAACAATAAAATGATCACACATTCAACATAAGCATGGAAACAATTCTTATAATAAAACACTATCACATACTCCACATTGCAGGTTTAATTTTACCTCTGTTCTTTCAATTGTGCTAATTCTTCTCCAATAAGTTTTGGTCGATGCATCTGCTGGACCCTGATCATCTGCAGGAGTTGGTCAGCTTCACAATCTGGCAGGTCACCCTTAACAACAAATATAGAATAACCTAAAAAAAGGTAAAAATAAACTAAACCAACTAGGTTGTGATTCAAAACCAATTTATAAAGATAGCAGAGAGGCAGCACAGCATAATGGGGGTGGGGGGGGAGGAGCTGAGCTGTCAGAAAGACCAAGGACAAATAACTATTTTTACCCTTACTAGCAGGGTGATCTAGGACAAATGACTTAAGTCTCTGAGCCTCATTTTCTTGAACTATAAAATGACCACTGCATAGAGGAAGGGAACTAAGACAAGTGAATGGGGAGGAGCAAGGAATTGGCTGGACTGTCTGGGCTTTAATCCTAGCTCTGCTGCTCCCTAGCTACATGGGGTCTGGTAAGTCACTCTGGTATCTTCAATTATTAAACAGGGGACACTGGTGCCTTCCTCAGAGAACTGTTATGAGAATACAGATAATATATGCGATGTGTATAAAATGAATTATCTGTACAAGTAGTTAACATATACACCTTACTGAAAATAGGATCTGGAAAGTTCTAGTTCTAATAATTTCTAATAATTTGTGGGCTTCTAGGATTGAGCCTAAGAGGGCAAGGGAGAGTTTTTGCCTCACACAGAGGGTCATGTAGATATTAGAGGAAGAATGGGGACTAGAGCCTAGACATTTGTTTCTAACATCAAGCTCCCCATCACTCGGTTACTCTATTTGTTATTATTTTTAACTGAAAAACACTCAACATGTGAGCTGCACTGTGAAATGAATGACAGGAGCAAGGATTCTAGATCAGACTGTCTGGGCTTTAAATATACTATTTTAACGATGGTATCTAAAAAGTTAGTCGTCCTCAATGAAAAATAACAGCAGTTTTCTCCAGATTTAATATACTTTTTCTCATGCTAAACTATCTTATTTTTTAAATATTTGTTTATTCATGCGTATAAGAACTGGGTACAGGACAGAGGTGTGTATGTGTGGGAGGGGTGGTGGTGGTGAGAGGATTCACCAGAGACCTAGTGGGGAGCAGAACAGGCAGACTGACTGACTGAAAGATATTGCTGAGGGGAGAAGTGGGCAGGACAAAAGTCTGCCATGCCATATGGTACCTCCCTGGCTGGGGATCGAACTTGTGATGCAGTCAGTGGCTGTGGATAGCTTCATAGTGCTGCACTTTAACTCCTCACCAGGGAAAGCCCCCAAAAATCTTATTTAGAATCAGATTCTTATCAGAGTTTGTCTACAGCTTTGGCATATCACAGAAATCATTGTTCAACTTCCCTTTAGTTTCTGTCTTACAGATTTCCTCTATCTTAGTCACTGTTTGACTACACATTTGTTTAGCTATTATTATGATTCAAAAGCAAAATCCTATCTTTTTTTTTTTTCAATCTGAGAGGTTAGGAAGTACAGTGGTTTTACATACAGGCTTTGAAATCAGAGAGCCCTTAAGTTTGAGTTCTGGCTCAGTCATTTGCATGCTAAATATTCATTAAATATCACCTAGCTTTCTAGGATTGTGATCTACTAGAACGGGATAGCTTACTTCTGATTCTCCCACTTTTTCTCTTCATGCAGTAGAAGTGACTGTGGTCATCTAAGTTGTCTTTAACCACTTTTTTTCATTTTGTGGCTCTACTGTCTATGTCTCAGCACCCTCCCCTGCAAGCTATGGGTAAAAACTGTTAGTGATTTCATGGGGCTGTTGGGAAACTTTAGTTTTGTTTGTTTTTCCCAAAGTGAGGGAGTCCCCATTTAAAAAAAATTTCCTTCACCTCTAGCCCACCATCCCCTTGGTGTTCTTTCCTCCCCCTCTTAAACCTCTGGCTCTCAGGATGTTTACTGAGTGCACTGCTTTTGGAAAGCATTTTGTATGACAGGATTGTCCACTATGTAAACACACAATATGTGTTATTATCCTTCTCACTTGCTTTATTGCATTCTCTCAAATTCCCTCCCAATAGTTGCAAATGGCTGCATTTCACCATTCTTCTGCTAGCAGGACCCACAGGATCACACTGAAGGGCAATTAACAGGTAACTAAACAGTAATCATAATACACGTGATAATTTTTTTACAAGGACAAGTATGCTCCAAGTTCTGACGGTCTAACAAGTTTTATGCCAGCATAATTATCCCTAGATGCTAGAGTAAATGTCTGCTGGCATCATGACCAGCTGAAACGCCGTCTTATTCACATGGCACAGCAAATACCTTAGGTTATACTTAAGATTTTGGATTTCATTCCAAGCATGCTGGGAAGGCTTCATGTACATCATTTTTTTTTTTTTAAAGTCCCCAAGGCTGCTTTATTAGCATAATATACAGGAACCGGAATACAAGAAGAGCAGTCCTTAATGGAAAACTTAAGGGACAGCATGCAGGGAGAGACAATCTATTCTCTGCAGGCGCGTTCACTTTGAAGTGCTTTCTGGACTTCTAAGTGGAGACAGCAAAGTTAGGGGTTTGGTATTAAGCACACTGTCTAGGTGGAAGACAAATGTCTGGGCCTTGTTGGCATATATATCTTATTTAGAAATGCTATTTCAAACACTGTGACAGCAAATAATCTGGAAGCTGTCCAAGAAATGGATTCTGTATTACTTCATCTTGGAAAGAGTGACTTTCACAAAAGGAATCAAAACAAGCACTGAGCTACAAGGAAAACCAGAGCACTGAGAACTGGATGGCCAGCGCCGACAGTCCTTCAAGGGAGGTTAGAGTGTCTTAGAGAAACAAGTATACTTTTCCTCTTTTTTACTCTTACAATGGTAAAAACCCTACAATCCTACACGTGAACTCTAAGAACTACATTCCAGTCAGCCCAGTAGTAGTAAGCAGTCCAGACTGTGACCTCAAAACACCTTTTAGTCATGTGTTACCCAACATTTCAGTCAGCGACAACCACACAGGAGGGAAGTCCAAGTGGGCTGTCCACTGAGCTGTGTCACTAGGCAGTCAGCTGCTGACACCTTTCTTAGGTCACAGGCCAATGACTGAGCTCTGCATGACAACTGTAAAGGGGCAGGACAGAGGCAGGCCAAGCCCACAATCCTGTTACACAAGAATGCCTTCCAAAGCCACAGTGTGCATTTCAGAAACGTGGGCGTGAATTGCTAAAGGTTGGTAACTAGTCCTGGTTGGGGCAATTTTGACTATCAACAGGAGTAGTAATGAACTGAAACAACAAAGTGTGTTTTAATGGATTACTTTATGATGTTTGAGTAAAAAGAAAAAAATGATTACTTTCAGAGGAAGGACATTTTACAAACTGATGAAAGGAAGTATCTATTCTGCCTTTCCCACATGAACTGTACTATGGACCTGCGGCCTTGCTTCTTCCACCTGGGACTCTGCACCTGTGTGCGCGCAGGATACTTCCCAAGCTACGTCCACGAGATCTCGGACCCGGATGCGGCCCACACAACCAGTCAATGGCTGCTTAGGCATGCCAGCCTCATCCAGTCTTTCGTGTACACAAAATACAGAGAGGCCAAGCACGTCCAGGTGCAGAGGCACCAGGTGGAAGAGAGGCCACAAAGAACCACCAAATAATGAATGAGGAAAAGGATAAGTATTCTAGCTAATAAATGGAGTGAGCTAAACCGTCATTTGCAACCCTCAATGAAATAACAAATCCAGGGATCAATCACCCAAAGCTATTCAAATTACAAAAAGGGACAAGACCAAGTGTTTCAACAGCAGTGAAGAGAATTCTCTAGTTTGATCAAAAAGTCTCTTCTCTAAGAAGTTGTCTACTGGGGTCTGGGTGCACAGAGGAAACAGAAGGTGATCAGCAAATCCAGTACATGGTAAACAGAACAAATGACCATTTTCTTAAATAAATAAAGGAAAAAAAAAATAAGAGGAAACCTACTGTTACAGACTTTAGAAACATCAACTCAATGATGACATCTCAAACCAGATTAAACTGTAAAAAACTGAAAGACAACCAAGGAGACTGGAGGTCTGAACAGTGACCAGTATTTCATATTGTTAAAGCCCTGTGATCAAATATTTTTTGATGTGATTATAGTAGTTTTAAGTAACCTCATTTTTTAAATTTTAATAAAAAAATTTATAGAAGATATAGACAAAAAAGAAAACAAATGTCTTTAAAGAAAAAGACCAGATACACAGGATTTGCATAAAACAAACAGGATAAGGAAGTGGGTAGGGCATTAAAGAAAACAAGATGAACCAGGAGATAACTGTAAATACTGAGAGAATGTACAAGAGAATTAATCACATTTTCTTTTTATATAGGTCTGAAATTTTCAATAACGAAAAATTTTAGCTTGTTTTTTCTAAAGGAGCTTGTTTTGTATTATTAACTATACTCTTTAGATGAGCTTGAGAATAGAACACAGACATTAGCAAATATGGATGACAATGGTGACAATGAGGGTTCTTTAGTGACGCACTGAAAATGTGTGATTATAAAAATGTGACTAAGTTGAGTTCATGATGCGTTAAACAACACACTAGAGACTATTGTAGAGAAAATAAAATAGACGAATATAAAAATGGGAGGTCCTTGAGTTTTAAAAGGCTTTTTTTTTAACCAATGAAAATAATTATTATTATGCTAATGACAGGAATACTATAGAAATGAGGAAAAATGGATGTTTGCATGAAAACAGCACTGTTACACTCACAACTAAGATAAACTTTTCAAAGATTTATTTATGAATATAAGAATTAGGGTGCAGGCCAGAGGTGTGGGGTATGAGAGGATTCACCAAAGACAGAGTGGGAAGAGGACAGGCTACTAAAATACACCGCTGAGGGGAGAAGGGGGCAGGACAGGAGAGGTCTGCTGTGCCATGTGGGTCACCTCCCTGGCCATGGATCAAACTCATGCCCCAATGGCTTCTGACAGCTTGATAGTATTGTATCTTTAACCTTTCTACCACCAGGGAGACCCCCCAAGATAGTTTTATATGCTACTTTGAAAGATAACATCAAAAAAATTTTAATCCTTATTTACCTTCCTGTTGTAATTGAGCCAAGAAAAGTGCAAGATATGTATCTGATATTAATTCTGGACCTGTCAAGAGAGAATTCAAGTTGAACCACTGCAAAAAAAAAAAAAAAAAATGTCAGTGTTTAGGTTAGTGTACATTATAAGTAATGAAGTTTCACACATTAAGAATAGATATAGCTCTAGGTCTCCTAGGTGGCCTAGGGGTTAAGTCTCAGCATTACCAACACCATGGTCTGAGTCTGATCCCCCACATATGGTAGAGCAGCTCTCCTGTTTTGCATGCTGCTCCCATTAGCAGTATATTTCAGTAGAGCTGCCTGTTCTGCTCCCCACTCTGCCTCCGGTGAATCCTCTCATCCCCTGCACCTCTGGTCTATACACCAGTTGTATGCAAAAATAAACAAAATCTTAAAAAAAAATGTAACTCATCTAAATTCAGTAACATTACCTACACATGAAATATTTAGATTTTTTAAAACTCAGATTTAAAAACAAATAGAATGTTACGGCTTTATTAATGTTAGGTGCTTTTTATCTTATTAAAAGATTGTATTTATCTTATTTTCTTGGAGAAGAACTGAGTGCAGGCCAGAGGTGCGGAGGATTGAGAGGATTCATTAGAGACAGAGTGGGGAGCAGGGCAAGTGGATTTACTAAAACACACTGTTGAGAGGAGCAGCAGGGAGAAAGGAGAGGTCTGCTACACCCTATTTAGGGTTAGCTCCTTGGCCAGGAATTGAACTCAGGCTAGAGCGACCTGTGATAGCGCTGAGTGAGACTTAATCCTAGGCCACTAGGAAGGCCCTGCATTAGCCCATTTTCAAACAATCCTTTTCTATACATTAAGGGTCTAATAAAAAGGACTTTAAATATTTTATGTACATTTCTTGATCTTAAAAATGACTTGTACAAGACACAATACATATTCTTTAAAAAACAAAACAAAACAGAAATGAGGCAGCTCCTACCCTCCTGTGACTATGCAGGTTTCTCTATCTCCTTTTCATAATAAACCTGTCTTTTTAAAATGCAAGTAAATAAGACAAATGATTTCATGTAGATAAATATATTACATGGCATCTGGAATGTGATTAATCTTATGTTAAAGTAAACACAGGTGAAAAGTTCTGTTCATGCTGGATACTGTTTCAGGCACTGTGACACTACAGTGATGAACAGAAATCTACAAATGTAATAGCCAACAACCTATTGATTACATAAAAATCCACTTAAACCATATCTGCATTATATTAACTGTAGAATTCTTCCTACTATACAGTTAAATTGTATATGGTTGTTACAAATTAACCCTTCAGTGAAACTGATACACTTTTGAAATAGTATATTTCTCTTTATCAAGTCTGATACCCTGAACATTCACAGTTTACTTTGTGTGGTTTCTTACTCTTTAAGGTACCAATTACTTAAATTTCAGTCATAAAAGGAGTACAGAATCACAAAAAAGGGAAGGAGAGACAGTACCTGTTTTCCTAATTTTCTAACTGTAAACCAGTGTTCTTTATAATTGCATATAAATGATCTTTCATTTCTAGGAAAAAAAAACATACACAATATTAAGTTGAATATCAGAGTCACGCTCATTTGGCCAGCCTACAGGCAGGTATTATACAAAATTTATGATAATTTAGGTGTAAGTTTACTATGCAAAGTATCACTGATTTTTTTTTTTATTACAAAAACAATCTCTTTGATTAGTGATACTATGCAAAAATGAAGTATCACACACTAGTCAAGATCAGTTTTGCCAGACGAGTATCAGGAACATCTCCAAAGTAATAGAAAAATCTGAGGGAATGAAACAGGGAACATAAAAACAAAAACACTCAAAATATATTTTTAATTCATTTAAGAAGTTATAAACTAAAGTCAACTTTAGAAAAAGCAAAAACAAAATAAAATCTTACATAGGATCAATCCTGAGCCTCTGATACTCTGGACTGTTGAACAGGATTAGTTCTAAACCCCAAACTTTCAAGGCATTGCTTATAACCTGTTTGGGGAAAAAAAAAAAAAAGGTATAAAAGGGAGAAATATTTCATGAGCTAAACCATTCAATTCCAAATTTAAGTAACCATAGCTATGTTAGTTGAGTAAAGTTGTACTTTCTTATGTAAATTTCCCCAGACAGCTAGTTTGTGTATATGTATATAGCCCTATCACTAACTCCACAAGCAACACAAAAACATAGCACTAAAAAAGTGCTTTCTAACGGAGTGGGGGGAGGGAAATGCACGGGATTATGGTGATGGCACATGGGTGACTTGGTGATGGGAAACCTGTGGGGATTACAATTGAGATGGAAAAAAATGTACAAAATGATGTAAAAATAAACTTTTGTAATAAAAAAATTTATATATATAAAAAAAAAAAAAGTGCTTTCTGTGCCAGGTTTCTGGAATGTCCAAGAAAACCAGTTTCTAATAATAGTCTCAAAAGTCCAGATGTAGACCCTCGCTGGTGGCACAACGGGTTAAAGCACAGCACTGTGAACTGGCAACAGTCGCTTCAGTGTGAGTTCAAGTCCCTGCCCTGGAGGTGACTCACATGGCGCAGCAGACCTCTTCTGTCTTGTCCACTGCTTCCTCCCCTCAGCAGTGTCCTTCATCAATCTGTCTGTTTTGCTGCCCTCTCTGTCCCTGATGAATCCTCTCTGCCCCTGCACCTCTGGACTATACCCTAGTTCCGTATGCATAAATAAATAAATCTTAAAAAAAAAAATCCGGATGTATATTCTATCCAGGAAGTGCTATTCATAAAACTCATCCATTATATATACACATGTGATTATCCACCTGCTATGGCTCCTACTTTAGAAAAGTTACAATCAACACACAGCTTCCTATATTAGTAATAATGATAAACTATATGTCTAAAAACATTAGTTCTTTCTGAGAAAATAAACTAAGTTTCTAATTGATTTTAAACTTCTATCATTGTGTATTTGTAATTTATAGAAAGAAAAGATAAACCTAATTATTTCAAATGGAGGAAAAACTGGAAGTTCACTATCGACCCCCAAGCTAGCTAACGGAGAAACAAGTAAACCAGGCAGACGGGAAATGTTAATCGGCACCAAGGGCAGCACTGCACAAACAGGAAAGGCGCTTGCTGGCCCTCTGCCTCCCATGCTGTTCCATGAAGCGCTGGACAGAAATGCTGGTGGATGAAACCCACGACAGTCCAGGAGAACAGTCCAAGGGGAATACAGACAAAAGCATTTTCGGATGCAGTTCCCTCAAGTCGGGGAGTTGGGCCAGGAGATGACAAAAGAAGGAACCTCACACACTGTTGGTGGGAATGTAAACTGGCTCAGTCCCCAAGGAAAACAGTATGGAGGTTTCCCAAAATACAAAAAATGATTCTACCGTGTGACTTAGTGATTCCACTCCTAGGTGTACACCTGCAGAATACAAAAATACTCATCAAAGGGATGGGATATGTGTATGTTTATGTTCACTGCAGCCCTAATTACAACTAATAGCTAACAGAAACATGCCTACCCAAGGATAGAGTAGACCAGAAAAATGGTGTGTGTGTGTCTGTATACATCCAACAAAATTCGAAGTGATTAAGAAAAAAAAGGTTATTCCTCCCATTTGCAACAACATGGGTGGAATTGGAGAGGACAATGTGAAGTCACTCATGAGAAATGCCAGGTGGTGTCACTGACATGTAGAACACTGACAAACATAAGAATGGCTCAGTCAAAACCAAACCAGTAACAAAATCTTAATAGTGGACTATATAAATGGTACAACCAAAGCGGGTAGGGAGAAATTGCTACTGGGGAGGAAGGGTCCCAAGAGAACAAGGTGGAGGATGATGGGAGCACTGGTGGTGGGAGGAAGTAAAAGTAGACATTAGTAGAGGTTTAGACTAATAATCCTTACAGTAGACACAGAAGTAAATGCACCTTGCCACAATAAACATAATATGTAAAAAAAAAAAAGAAGAGAGAATCTAAAAGAACGCTGGATATATCTCACAGGTGTCAAAAACAGAATGGAAGGCTCACCAAGAATCTTATATATATATATATATATATATATTCACTAATAAATTTAACAAATACTATTGAGCATTTACTCAATGTGTGCCTATTATCCTCAGAATTTGGAATGTAGTTTTGAATAGAGTAGATAAAGAGTATTGTGCTCAGGGTGCTTACACACTGGACACAGTAAGTAATAAGGATAATATAGAAGTGAAGTATAAGCTCTGTTAAGGGGTGACCAGAACTATAGAAAGTAGAATCAAATGCATAGACCAGGACTATAGATAGTAGAACCAAATGCATAGATGTAGAAGAGGAGAGGCTAGAAGGGAAAGATGCATATTATTTCCATTTTTTATCTTTCATTGATTAATATTAGAACTCATAGATTTTTATATATTGAATCTGCTTCATCAATTTCAATTTTTCTTACTTGTAAAGTTTAAAGTGCTCCCTCTTTGTCCATTAAGAATCTCTTCGATGTGATCTTTTGTTCTTTCTCATAGATTAACCCGTAAAAGCTTCTTAGCTTTCTTGCCCCATTTAATGTTCCTGACATCTTCTTTCTACCATGCCCACTTTGAAATTACTTTCTGTCAAAGTTCTCATAGATTCTTTTAGTGAAAGTGTATGCTTTTCCCATAGATTCTTTATTGAACGGTTATGATTAACAGGATTTCCTCAGAGGTTTTAGTGTTCTACTGGAGAAGCAGAGGCATGTATGGCTCTTACAGTTTTTGGCCTGAGCAACTGGGATAATGACAATGCCCTCAACTATGAGGTGGGAACATGATGTTGAAGGAAGCATAGGAGATAAGATTTGGACAGATTGATTTTGAAAGTTTAATTATACTCCTAAATATTCATTGTAAGCA